AAAAAAAAAAAAAAAAAAAAAAAAAAATTAAGAATCCATGGCTAAAATACACAGTTAATTTTTTATAGACTTGAACTGTATCCAACTATAAATTAAATCTACTTTAATGGTATCATAAAGTAGTACAAAAAATATGACATTAAAGTTTAAAATTAGGCTAAATAATAAAAATACTTGTAAATTTTGTACTTTATTTTAAACAATCTTACCCGACTTTACCAACCTTTTCAAAAAGTCCCTTTTAATTTTTAAAATTTTTATTAATCCCTTACAAAAAAAATACAGTTGACTTTTAAAAAGTTTCATTAATATTAATGAGTATGCAGATGAAATTGCACAAACTTATCATTGTTCACACTTATTTTAGATTAAATTACATATGGCTACACAATCAAAATCAAATAAAAAGGTAAAATATGAATTTTCCTCTAAAAGAAATAATAACCCATGGAACAAACTATTTAATATTATAATACTTCAATACACGACATTATTACCATTTACATGAAAACTGAACCTATTTCCCAAGAAAGGAACTACAAAATTTTCAATTTTCCAAAGTCAAAGCTCTTATTAAATAGAAAATAGTATAAAGAATGAATAAGTTCAAGAAGACCTTGAGAATGCTAAAGCAGCCGTGTGTATACCTGAAACTCAAAACTCGAATTTACTGTCTCATTTAGTCATAGGGATTTTTGAAGTTCTTCAAAAGTCCTGGGACGTCGTATCCCAACATGTCATCCACAGACTGAATCATTTTTGGTTTCAACTTCTCAAAGCTGTCGAAGTTGAAACCAGACAATGTCTCTTTGAACTGGTCGACGTTCGGGAAATCTCCAGCGGGTAAGTGATATTCCCTTTGTACCTGCGAGTTCATAAAAGTTTCAAGTGTACCATTCTTTGTAAGTTGCTACAAGCATTAGTTCAAAGGAAATACCTTCCCGAATTCATCGGCCAAATTATCGAGCAATCGCTGTTGGGTTTTGGCTTTGCCCATAATGGTAGGCATCTCCTTCCTAAGATGACTTATGATGTAGGCATGAATTTTAGCAGCTCTTGCACGTTTGACAAATTCATTTATCTGCCAGAAAATGATGTTATCAGAAACTATTTTCTTGGGGGGAGGGGGCAGAGAGACTATTCGGTTCTTCAAAGTTGCATATTACACAAACAAGTACCATTTTCAATTAGAATAATATGCATAGTAGACCATGGGAAACTCACTTTTCGATCACAGGCCTTCTTCGGAATATCCTTCAAATCAGAAAGAAGATCTTCCTGTTCTTTTTCAAAGAGATCTTTCCCAAGCGGACCCGTAGCAGCTTCGTTAACTGGTTGGTCATTAAAGGACCTGTCACAAGGAAATATGTGAACCAAAGGGAGCATAAGACATCCTGGTCAACATAAGAAGCATATCAAAGTAGTGATCTAGACATGAAGATCTCATTAGACGGCGATATATGTGTTGGCAAGATACATTATTGTCAATCCTTCCATTAGAAACCACTCAGATTTGAATGAGGCCAAATTATATCACCGCATATGTCAATGTAGGCTGGAAAAAGAAAAAATAAAAACCACTAGTATCATATCAGGCAAGAGGCCGCACCCAATATAAACGCGAACAACCTCAGGTGTATTCAGAACTTTCCCAAGCGACCACATTAATGCTCCATAAACCCTCATCAACTGAAATGCTCAAAAGAGTTTAATTACATTCACTGAGCCCATGTATTTCAGCCGGTGAAATGGTAAAACCAGAGTAAATAATAATAACAATAATAATAAAAGTAAAGATAATAAGTTACTTGTTGCGTGTCCACTTGGTCTGCCTTATTCAATACTACTCGAATCTTGTCATCATGCCCACGTAATGATGCTATGACCCGCTTGAATTCATCACTAATATCAAGTTTATGGGGATCAAATAAAAGTAGAATAAGATCGGACTTTGCAGCAAACCACGATGTTACAGCTGTAAACTCATAAGCTCGCTGTGTTCGTTGCTTTTCTCCGGACAAAACTCCAGGAGTATCCACAAACGTAAAATGTTCTAGCAGCTTCATAAAATAGAACAGTTTAAAATAGAACAGTTTAAGGCCATGAAAAGAGTATTCAAATAAATATTCATGCAGTAACAGAATGTATTCTTACAGCATGTGGCATTTGTGAACACTCAAATTTTGATAGAAAAGAAGTTCCAAATGTTGTGAGCCCATTAAATGGCATGTCTGCTTGGACGGCAACTGTATTTCCAGGAATGCTTCTTTCATCAGGTCCAGACTAAAAAGGAGAAAATAACAAAGACTCAGGTTTGAAGCACCAAAATCATTCATTCTTTAGAAGATTATGAATTGAAAAAAAAAAAAGAGAGAGAGCATGAAAGGATTGACAAGAAAGCATGAATAAAGTACTTAAAATGGAATTTGGATTTTCCCCCTTCTAAGAAACAAAGGACACAGAAAGATGCAACCAGCAGATGCAGATGACCACATTGAAGAAGCTATTATCATTTAAAATTATCATTTTTCAAATAAAAAATAGCATGGGTCATGAAGACAAAGCCAGATAGAGTATCTTCAAACTAAATATAAACAATCAACTTTGCATAAAAAGTGTGAAAATACAATTGAAGTAACAGCAATACGTTCTACAGATTGGAATCTGAAAAAAATAGATTGCAGAGCTGACTGGAATTACTAGCCTGATTTATTTCCTCGATCATTCCAGTCAAGCCAACATATACCCCCTCAGGGGAAGAGCCTATTTGTAAAAAGAATAAGCACTTACCATAACAACAACAAATCTGTCAGTTGTAGGTTCTGGTCCAATATGGGCTCCTGTTAAAAGTGGAAAAATGAGCGACAATGTTAAAACAAGCTCAGACGTATTGAAATCTCACGTTTTCTCTCTCCCTCACTCCCTTTCTCTATCTCTCAAACACACAAACTTTGTCTCCAATTAATAAAAGTAGGGGGAAAAATTGGTGTGGGTGGGGTGAGGGGAAGAGGGAGCTATAGATCAGCCCATCCCTCTCTCTCTCATTCATGGAAGCTCATACCTAGGACAACTACTTTTGGGGAAGTACTTTATAACTGTCAGCATAAAAAATACAATATCTCACCTGGATAACTGCTTCTCAGCATATGCTTGATAAACGTCGTTTTGCCAGTCGAGTATTGACCCAAAAGCATAACCATTGGTTTAGCATCAAAGTCACTATTTGTCTGAGTCATAGGGCAGGCCAACATAATTATAAAACCACATTGTAAACCATGGTCCACCATACCATGAATATTAAATAAAAAATATACATATAGTTTTAAGAGAGAGAGAGTCTCTACGACACATGTAATGAAATATAAAATTAAGATGCAAAAACATACATTATACTCACCAGTAATGGAGAAACAAAATCATTAAACCGATAAGTAACTTCTAAGGGCTTCAGCTTCTGAATGTACAGTCTCTTCAAACCATCAATGATTGATGTAACGGAAGAAAGAGGTACCTGAAACAGCATTTTGGAGAGGGAGTCATAAGACCAGACACCAAGGCGAGAATGACTGCAGTAAACAACTGCTACATATATGATAACATGATAAACATAAAACAAATGAAATGTTCATGATAACGAACTTTTTTAGATGACTTCGCTGAAAACCAATTAGCTAAAGCAGGGGATTGCCATTTAGAAGTACCTGCATAGTCATCATCCATTGCCAAGTTAAAAAGGGATAGTAAGGGCATAAAGCAGCCTCCTTTCATTACTTGAAAAGATATAGGTACTACCGTTTGTCTCGTGGTCATTTGATTTCTGTTTACGGGCTCTCTTCTGTTTGATAGAAAAATGAAAAAGTTAGAACTTTCAACAGCATTACCAAAGGTGTGCCTTCCTACTCCTCAGTCCTAAGGTCAGAACAAGCCCCACCCAACCAAAACTCAAAATTTGATTGACCCAACCTGGCCCAGTCTATCTATATATTGGATAGGATACAGATGAATCTATTAGAGCGCTACTTTTAAGGTGTTAAACAAGTAAGAAAGAGACATAGGCCTCAACTTAATTGGAGTCAATTTTTCGTGAAAAAAAAAAATGTTGTATTGGTTGCATAACAGAATGCTATGAATGAGGGGGCTACGAGTCACCAAGCAGACTATTTTGAGGGGTGACTGGGTGAGGAGACGCCAACAAGGTACTCTTTGCACGGATGATATTATTACAAAGGTAAACTAGTCCTACCTATGGACATTCCATTATTGTCATTAAAATTTCAATCCCCATTAACACTGGGATATGGAGGTGGGACATGACGGCGTTTTTCAGACTTATCAGAGGTTGGCAAAAGAAGTATATTGCAAAGGAATGCACAAAGAAATTTGTTTAAGAGCGCGCAAGTTATTTGCAAATAAACTGAGTTATTAGCCTTGGTTCTAGCGGGTTCGCTTCAACCTTTACTAATTCCATATAATACTTCAGAAGGCATTTCGATAAATTTTGTGAGCTGAAGGTTAACCCGAGTCTGAAAGGTATGATTCAACTTTGGTTGTAGGGGATTGTTGGTCGAAGTTCATTCACTCATCTTAATGCAACATCCTTTACAACTATTATTTGAACAACAAGCTTAAAATGCGTCTCATTTTCGAAAAAAGACCCTCTTAGTGAAAGAAAGTCCTGTACCTCATTGCCATGTACCTTTACCCTTTTTACTTTTGAACGAAGAATTTGAGAAGTATTCTCCAAAAAAATCCTAATTTAGCTTTTCTTTCCTTTGGTTTAGTTATTTTCCATGCAAACACTAAAGATGTGTCAATACATGATGATAAGGGCAAATCCTCAAATGGCTGGTCACTAATACATTTCAAAGGAAACCTCTCAAATTTGAGGGGGTTGTGGCTCTTTCTTACTTGAGTAGATTAGATGGTTTTTCCATTCTGAGAATAAGGATGTATGGACTTGGTATTTGAAGTATGTTTCTTTTTGTCGCCCCTGGCTAAGGGCCTAGACACTCATTTGGGCTTGCTGCCTAGTTGGTGTGCAAGGGAGAGGATGCATAAACACAGGGCATCCCTTTTTGTGGTTATCTTATCTTCAACTGGTTGCCCTTCTATCAACCCTGGCACCTTAGGAAATTTCTGATTTCCTTAAATGAAGTCTTGTGTTGCCCTTAAAAATAAAGCGAAGTGTTGTAGTTTACGTTTTAAGTGTTTTTGGAGCACATGGCTAGTAAAGGAATGGAAAATTTTTCAAGGGAGTAAAATCTCTAGATGTTTCAATAGTGGTCGAATGTGCTATGTCACGGTCATGCTCATCCAGGGCATGTTGCTCATGGCCACATGCCCATGCCATGTCAAACCCTTTTCCTTGCTTTCATGTTGTATTACTTTCTTATTACATTTTCTGTTGTATAACTATTCGGCGAAACCATGTCTACCCCGGTTAGACATGAATCGTCTCAAAATATATTATGGGGACCAACTAGTCATCAACCTCCCCCACCAAGTATTGTAATCGCTCTTGCCTACATATTTTCAATGCAATTGACTTTCACACTGCTTTCTTTCAATTTTTTTTCAATGATTTTCCTCTCCCATGTTTTCTAAAACATTTTTTCTCAAAACGTGACTCGAAACTCGACCTATGTCCGATTTGTCCACGAAATATGATTTTTATACGGCTGACTTGTTCACCAGGTTAGAATAAGTGCCGTACAATTGACACGTCCCGTTGCCGAAAAGAATGCGATGGTGACAAGTGGTATCAGAGTTGCGTTAGCTCCTAGTCCTATTAAAGAATGAAACGATGTTGGCGACTAAACAATCGCTAAGTCACAAGTTTAGATTCTCACTGAAATTGAACATGAGATGTTATTCTTAAAAGAAGAACCCGACACAGTCCACTTCCTGGAGGAACAAGTTGCGAACTGAATGAAAGAGTCGGTGGAATTGACGCTATGAGCACTTGCCTGGATGGGTTGGCAATCAAAGAATTGATATTTAGGGTTGACTCTCTAGAAAAAAGGGATACACAACCAAGTAGCTTAGAACGCGAAGGTAGCTTTGAGAGCTCTGTCACATACATGGAAGGAACATGTCGAAATGCTAGATAGTTCAAAAACCGTTGAAGCTTTTCAACGAGTTGACTAAAGATCTCAAGGCAACAATAGACGCCATGAAGGCAGAGATAGCCAGAATGAATACATGAGTAAGCTTGACCATGTGGGCCATAGGAAATCAAACCTCCGGTCAAGCTTAGGTTGGGCTCAACAAACTAACGATCTTGGAGCCCAAGGCCTTCCAAGGGAATCGGAATGCAAAAGAACTTGAAAATTTTATCTTCAACGTTGAACAATACTTCAAAGCCACAGGGATCTGTTCAGAAAAACTTAAAGTTACCCTGGTCACAATGCATCTGGCAGACGATGCAAAACTATGGTGGCGTTCGAAGTTGAATGACATTCAAAATGGTTCGTGCACCATAAGTTCATGGGAAGACATCAAGAGAGAGTTGAGGACCCAATTCTTCCCTGAGAATGTAGAATTCATAGCAAGGCGCAAAATGCGACAATTGAAACACACCGGAGGAATTAGGGACTATGTCAAGCAGTTCTCAACTTTGATGCTAGACATTAGAGATATGTCTAAGAATGACAAAGTATTATGGTTTGTCAAAGGATTGCTACCCTTTGGCAAGAACAAAATTACGTGAACAAAAGGTTCAAGATCTTGCCGCCGCGCTGGTTACTGCAATGAGACTCTTAGACCTCGAGGGTGAAGCCAATTTCTAAAGAAGGAATACACCACCCCCAAACTCTAGGAACAAACCCTATAGGCCAATGAGTTTGAGGAATGAAGGCCCCAATTGACCGAATGGAGGAAACGATAGACCGAATGGAGGAAACTATCCGGCGATGCCTTTGCAATGTCTATTATGTAAGGCCCTCACCAGATTTCCTATTGCCCCTGTTGAGAGGCCTTTTGTGTGCTTCAAAGTCTCCATACAAGGAGGTAATGACCAAGAAGCCGAACCATCGGCAGAGAAAGAAGAAGATCATGACACTCCCAAAATGAGAGCGCTAAAGTTTCTATTGGCCATCCAAAAGAAGTTCGATTCGAAAGAAGTGTTTGAGAAAGGGCTGATGTTCGTTGACGAAACGATAAACTCACGACTTAGCAAAAGTACCTTTGTAGACTCAGGCGCGACCCACAACTTTATCGTTGACTATGAAGCTTGCAGATTGGAACTCAAGATAGAGAACGACCCCAAGAAAATGTAAGCTGTTAATTCAGAAGCCTTTCCTAGTGTTAGAGCCTCCCGTCTCTTTGAAATTGGGGACTTGGTTAGGAGAAATGGATTGGGTCATGGTCTACATGGACGACTTTGATGTGGTACTTACTTAGAATGGATGGCCTTCTTGACACAAAGTCATTCCAATGTCGTTGGCGAAGTGCATAGTGATTACCAATTGCAATCCTACCGTAATCCTTGCCAGAATCAAACAGTCGGGCAACAATGATTTTCGCCTTGCAATTAAAGAGAGGGCTCGCCTGGGAAGAGCCCACATTTATGGTCATATCTTTGGTGGAAGATGTAATCACCATTGATCCCATCCCAAGCGAAATTAGAGATGTCCTACCTAGTTATGTTGATATAATGTCAGAAAGCTTACCAAAGACATTACCCCCTCGACGGGGCATAGACCACGAAATTGCGCTCCTACCTAAGGTCAAACCCCCAGTGAAAAACGCATATCGGATGGCTCCACCAGAGTTAACCGAATTGAAGAAGCAGGTTAGACGAGTTATTGGTTGTAGGGTTGATTCATCCCGCAAAAGCACCCTATGGGGTCCTTGTGTTTTTTTAGAAGAAGAATGATAGAACTTTACATCTGTGCATCGATTACGAGGCCCTAAACAAGGTGACAGTGCACAACAAATACCCATTGCCAATTATATCCAATTTGTTCGACAAGCTCCATGGGGCCAGAAACTTCATGAAGCTGGATTAACATTCGGGATATTATCAAGTGCGTATTCTTGAGGGAGATGAGCCCAAGAAAACTTGTATAACAAGATATGGAGCATCTGAGTTTCTGGTGATGCCCTTTGGCCTGACAAATACCTCAGTTATGTTTTGTACCCTAATGAATCAGCTTTTCCATGAATACTTGGACCAATTCGTCGTAGTATACCTCGACAATGTCGTTGTATACAGCACCACGCTGGAGGAGCACAAGATACACCTGCTCCTTGTCTTTGAAAACTAAGGTAGAATTAGTTATACATGAAAAAGAGATATGCGTCTTCGCCCAAAAGTGCATCAATTTCATTAGGCACGTCAACAAGTGCAGGCAAATAAACATAGATAGCAACAAGATAAAAGCTATCCAAGAGTGGAAAGACCCCACTTCGGTAACCGTTGTGCAATCCTTCTTAGTGTTGGAAAATTATTATGGATAGTTCGTCAAAGGGCTTTCACGACGAGCCACCCCATTAACAGAACTGCTGAAAAAAGACCATCCTTGGTTGTGACAGATGAATGCCTAAAGGCATTCGAAGACTCGAACGCAACCATGACGAGGGACCCTTTCCTCAACTTGGTTGATGTTTCAAAACCTTTCGAAATAGAAACAGACACATCTGACTTTGCCCTTGGTGTGTCCTCAACTAGGAGGGCCTCCCCATTGCCTACTTAAGCCAGAAGCTCAATAGCAAAGAGAGAGAGGAGGTACACAGTATCTAAAAAAAAGTAGCTCAATAGCAAAGAGAGAGAGGAGGTACACAGTATCTAAAAAAAATGTTAGTTGTTGTTCATTCTCTCAGAGTTCGGAGACAACATCTATTGGGATCCCACTTCGTAGTGAGAACGGACAACAATATCATTTGCCACTTCTTTGACCAACCAAAATTGACGTCAAAGCAAACTCGGTGGCAAGAATCATTAGCATAATTCAACTTCAAATTCAAGCATAAAGCGGGAACGAGCAACCAAGCTTCCAATGCTCTGAGTCGAAAGAGTGAATATGCGATCCTATGCATGTTAGCCCACATTCATTCTAGTAAGATCGATGGGTCAATGCGAGATATCATACGAGAACACTTACAAAGAGACCCTTTGGCCAAGGCTGTTATTGAGCTAACCAGAGCTGAGAAGACTAGGCAGTTATGAGTTATGGGTTGAAGGAGACCTTTTGCTGGCAAAATGAAACTAACTGTATGTCCCAAGAGCGAGAGAGCTACGAAAGAAACTTATCCAAGAATGTCACGATACCTTATGGGTCGGTCATCGAGGATGACAACAAATGTATGCCTTAGTGAAAAAATGGTACTTTTGGCCAAATATGCGGGATTGACATAATGCAATATACCAAGACATGCATCATTTGCCAACAAGACAAAGTTGAAAAGGCTAAGGTCTCAGGACTTCTCGAACCCTTGTCAGTGCCGACAAGACCTTGGAAAAGAGTGTCACTAGACTTCATTACACATCTCTCGAAGGTTGGCGAACATGAAGTCATCTTGGTCATCATCGACCGATTCTCAAAGTATGCTATGTCCGTACCCACAACCAAGATACGCTCGACCGAATTGACAACCCAACTGTTCTTTAAAAATGTCGTAAAGTTGTGGGCCATTCCATCGAGCATCGTCAGTGACAAAGTGACAAGTTTATCAGGACATTCTAGATAGAGTTATTCACATTCTTGAGGACAACTTTCAATATCTCTCGAGCTGTCACCCCTAGACTGATAGACATAGTGAACGATTCAACTGTTTGCTGGAAGAATACATGCGACATTTCGTTGATGCTCGTCAGAAAATTGGTTACAATTGTTAGATAGGGCCCAATTCTGCTTTAATTGCCAAAGGAGTTCACAAATTGGGAAGAGCCCCTTTGAAATTGTGAATCCCTGCCCTATATCATTGACCATCGACTTCGAAAGAATCTTCAAATCCAAAACTTTACAAGAGAATGGAAGCCGACAACAAATATAGCTCAAACTTACTTAAGAAAAGTTTCCAAACACATGAAGAAATGGGCATCATCCCATAGTATACATTTCCTTAATTGCAAAGAAATGGGATCCAATTCTGCTTTGAAATTGTGAATTCTGCTTTAATTGCCAAAGGAGTTCATAAATTGGGAAGAGCCCCTTTGAAATTGTGAATCCCCTCCAATTCCGAGTAGAACACCCAAGTCCAAATCAAACTGAGGATAGAGTAGAAAGGACCAAAGACTTGTCAGAAAATATGAAGGTCCATTCAAAATTCTTAAAAAAATCAATAGGTTGGTATTGCCCACATGAATGAAAATTCATCTAGTAATCCATGTGAGCAACTTGAAACCTTACTACCTTGATCCAAACAATGGCAGTCGCAATGTTGTTGCCAGACCCGCCTAAAACAAAAAGACATCAGGGAAGTTGAAAGGATCCCGACCGACAAAGATAGGAAAGTTGAAAGACTTGTACGTAGGGTTCGAGAATTCCTCGGCAATGGAAGAATCTACCTACAGAAGAAATAAGTTGGGAACGCGCCGAAGACATGGCCTCCGCCGCGGTCCATATTGCAAATTTTGAACATAGTCGATATCAATCAATGAGGTGGGGGAGGATGTCACGGTCATGCTTGTCTAGGGCGTGTTACCTGTGGACACATGCTCATGTCATGTCAAACCCTTTTACTTGCTTTCACATTGTATTACTTTTTTACTACATTTTCTATTGTATGATTGTTTGGCGAAATCATGTCTCCTCCTGCTAGACATGAATCGCCTCAAAATGTATACTATAGGAGGACCCAGTAGTCATCAAACCTCCCTGACCAAGTATGGTAACCGCTCTTGCCTACATGTTTCAATGCAATTGACTTTCACAATACTTTCTTTCAACTTTCAACGATTTCCTCGTCCACGTTTTCCAAGACATTTTCTCTCAAAATGTGGCTCAAGGCTTGACCATACGTCTTTATCCGCAAAATACAATTTTTATACGGCTGACTTGTCCAGTGCGTGAGGACAAGTGCTGCATAGTCGTCGTCCCATTGCCGAAAAAAGGGCAATTGTGGCACTATGCATACCCCTTCCCCCCCCCCCAAAAAAAAGAAATGAAGTAATATGGATAAAAATTTATATTCTAATATAATGTTAATAAGTACTAATTATTAAATTAGTTCTTTTAATAATTCACTTTTGTTACCAAAAAAACGAAAAAAACAATTTATTTAGACTACAGCAGAAGCATACTCACAGCTAATATGACATCTAGTTCTTCCATTTTAGGAAGACTCAGACTCATTAATTCATCTGCAACACATATGAGCAATTACTTCAAATCAAGAGACTGAAATTGCAGGAAAAAAGCTTAGTAAATTGAATAGCATGAAAAGTTACCAACAATTTGAAAAACTTGCAAGCGTTGCCTCAATAGGTAATAACTGGCACAAGGTATAGAAGATTGAAAAACATGCAGTCGCGCTAGAAAACTAACCTTGGCTGCAAGAAGTCAATGCATCATGAGTTACTTCCCCTCTAGATTGCGCCAAAGAAACAAGCTAAGCACAATAGAAACGTATTGCTTTAGAATATAAGTTGACATTTTCAATCTACAAACTCAAAATTCTAACTAAAACCTGCATTGCAGTAATAAACTCGGTGAACCCAAGATATCCTTGCCGCTTGGAATCTGCAATTGCCCACACCTTTGAACAAAATATTTGAAGGAAATCATGGTCACAAAAAAGAAAATTGAGAAGTGAAGACGATCCTGATCATCACATTAAATGAAAATTTTCACGCAACTTTTTCAGAACAATGAGTTTTGGTTAGAGCTATATAACACGAAAGTAACCAGAAATTTCGAAATATAATTCAACTTTGTTTACACTTCAGTAAGATTCCATAAGTTATTAACGAGCGACAGCGAAAGAAAACACCGAAAAACTACAAAAGACAAAGAAAAAGAGAAAAACAGAAACGGAAGGCGAACCTGCTTGAGATCTTGCCGAGACAAGCTAGACATGGAAAAGAACTTAATAGCATCATTCCCTGTGATACGCCCGTCTCCATCTGAAATTAAACGGCGCAGAAATCAGGAATCGAACATTGACTCACAACAGAAACAGCTCAACGGAAAAACAAATAAAGAAATATACAAGTTGAAAGAAGAAGAAATACCAGAATCGGCGTAATCAAACCACTCCTGATAGATCTTCTGCTGCTCTCGGGAGCAGGAAGCGATAGGATTGGGAACTTCCATTAAGAGAAACAAGAAAACAAGTGTTAGCTCCCGTGAATTGGTTCCTCCTCCGGTTGATCTCGTTACAGTTCCAGGCGAACTCCGAGATCATGGAAAAAAGAAGCAATAGGTTGAAGGTGAATGGAATGCAAAACGCAGAAGAATTGGTTCCGTCGTTATCTTCCTTTCAGGAGAAGGGAGAAAGAACTGGAACGGAAGCGGAGAGAGAGAGAGCGAGGGAAACGGGGTACGGAGGAGATTTTGTTTTGGTTTTCTTTCTTCGGTAGCGTTTCATGCCGATGAAGGTGTAAATGTTAATGATGACAAGAAACGATGTCGTTTTCTGAAAATCCATTTTGGGTCCATGCTTTCATTTTCAATAAAAATTTAGATTTCTATGTACTCCCACATATTTATACCAAAATTAAAGCTTAAAATAACTTCTCCAATCAAAATTATTTGTATGCTTATACAACTAATTTTAAATCAAAGAAAATTAATTAATTTAAAAAAAATATTTACTAAATTTAGACATTTCAAACTACATAAATATTTTAACCCTAAACTAATGTTTTTCCCATAAATTTACATTTGGTACTTTCTGAGTTTTTGAATTTTTGAATTTTAAATTTAAAAAATTGTTAATTAATAAGAGTATTAATTATGCTATATATATTTAATGGTTGAGTTTAAATTATATTATTTTCTAATGCTAGGATTTAATTAGATTAGATTGAAAAATTAAAGTTATTAATGAAACTTTAAATAATTGACATATAAGAAAAATGGATTGAAGTAATAATGTAAAGAGTTCATGGTACATTAAAAATGTTGCAAATAAAATTATCAAAAATTATTTACGTAGGCACATGTGAAGTATATTATATACAATGAAATGAATTTGTCCAATGTTAGAGTGAAACAAATATCTCTATTCACCTTTCCTCTTCAAATTTTGTCATACTCGAATATTATTATTATTATTATTATTTAACCAATTTCAATAACATTTTGTGTCACTCGAGTAAAAGAAGAGTACATGAATGAACGAATAATCCTAAAGATAAAATGGCTAAGAAAAACTTACAAGAATTAAAAGTCAGTACCTATACAAACGAGGTACACTTTCCTTTTCGGTAGTTCAATCATAGAAACTTTGTTAACCGTGTTTTGCTTGGAGCAATTCTTTGTTGGATAACCTCCTCGGAAATTTCTTATGATGCATGTAATTTTATGCTAGAAGGAATCTATGTTGGTTTGTGAGGATAGTTTTCACTCTTAGAAGAGAGGAGTAAGTAACGTGAGCATGTCGTAGGGGATGCAAGGGAGTGTCAGGCCAATCAAGTGCTGAATCCTGAGCATGGATCGTTACACATTTAACTTCAAACTAACAATAAGAACTAAATTTAATATTTATTAAAAGCATATGGACTAACATAGAATAAGACCCAAAGCAAAAGTGTAACGAACCGGAATATAAATTAAAAAAAAAAAGACAATCGAATTTTAATTCGAGGAGTGAAAGTGTCATGCAACTAGGAACATTGCATTCGTTAAGGTATTGTGGCAGAGGCACCATACCGAGGAGGCCACGTGGGAGCGTGGGGACAAAATAATGGAAGAATACCCTGAGTTAGTAAAGAGTTTGAGACTTTGGAGGACGAAAGTTATTTTTAAGAGTATATAATGTAACGAATGGGAATAAAAAAAAAAAAAAAAAAAA